AGAACCGTTTTCTTCCATCTGTTTCTATTAAGCTGCCTCCTACACATTTAATCCTTTCATAGGAGACAGACAGAGCAAACTCTCGCTGATCAGCACTGAGCCAGAGATCAGATTTTGCTTTCCAAGCATCTCAACATGTTGGCATCTTTAGAAGGGAGTGAATAAGCTAACATTGCATAACAAACTCCTTTTGCAACAATGACTGTGTTGTTTCTAGGGACGCCTCAGCAGTTCATCCTGACAGCCCTCCAGTTACACTGCAAAAAGTTGAAATCTAAATAAGTCCTTTTTTTCTTAAAATAAGCGCGCTTTTTCTTGAATTAGGGAGGTAAGTGAGACACTTTGCAAATGGAACAAGACAATTTAGATTTAAAATAAGAAAATTGCATTGTTTTATTTCAAGTGCATTATATCTAAGACTAAACATATTAACTCTATTAGCAGATCATCTTATTTACCTACTCAATGTAACAGGAAATAGACTTATTGTAAGAAATTTTTGCTTATTTCTAGATTGTTTTTGCAGTGTAAAAGGCGCCTCTCTTAGAGATTTTTTAAATTATTTTGTTTGCAAACAACATCACTTATTTGATGGGTGAGGGATAGATATGATTTTTAGGTATGACTTAATAATGAAAATAGTGATATTCTACAGCTACACTGGAGTTTTTCTCCCATCTCATCCCCTGGAAATGTTGAAATGAACAGTTTGTCATATAAAGCAAGCATATTCCCTCACTGCAAAAATGTTATTCTTAATATGTATTTTTTTCTGAAAAGGTGGATGTTTTTTTCTTGAAATGAGTATTGTCTTATTTCAAGTGTATTTTATCTAATTAACTTATTTTAAGAGTGAAAAAAATTTAATTCCATTTGCAAATCCTCTTATTTACCTGCTGAAATTAAGGTTAAATAAAGTTAATTTAAGATATATTTACTTATTTCTAGATTGTTTTTACAGTGTAAGACATCGTCTCTTTTAAAGGTCTTTAAAGGCATACTATGCAACATTTTTCAGTTAATTAATGTGTTCCATAAAGTTTAGGATGATTAAATGAGTAATTTCAGGTCGAACAAAGGTTTTCTCGGCCGCCCTGGTGGTCTGTAAGGGAAATACCGCACTTGCAATTGCAGGAGCCCTCGGCCCGCACCCACAGGCTCAGAAGTCTCGTGCATCGCGAGAGTTGGTCTTGCTTTACGGCGAGAACTGCTACACGCCCCCAGTGAAAGGCATGCTCGTTGCTAGCGCAGTGGCGATATTTGTGCTGTTATCATGGCGGAACCAGCGAGAAAACAGAGAAAGCCCATGTCATCCGACAGTCGGATAAATGTATGGGAAACTCCAACTTGGCTAACTACAATCTTTGTTATTTAGACACATGCATAACAAATAATGTGTGAAAACATGCAAAATTTTCAAACTCGAAAATTGGAACAAAATAGTCACTTACCGCAGTAGACGTGGTGATTCGTTGCGTTCGCCTGTCTGCTAAGCTCAAAACAACCGCGCCTGGCTTGACGGAGAAACCAGGAGAACAGCTGAGCATATTTACAACAGTGCACTTTTACTTTCGCCCTCTGGGGGGAGCCTCGCTGAAAAAATCAACACCGGTTGCATAGTGTACCTTTAATAATATTTTTCTTGTTCTTTTGGACTTTTAGACCACAAAGGTTTACTGTGGTGTTTAGACTTAGACAACTTTTATTGTCATTTTGTATACAAAAACATATTTCATTCTTTACAACTTTAAGACCGTGAATGAGAAGCAACTTAGCAGTGAAATGAACATTTCCATTCCATAAAGTGCAGCAGTGATCAATTGTAAACAGTGCGGGAGATCAGCATGGTGCAAAAGGCATGGAAGTTAAGAGCATTTCAAGACAAATATATATGGGGCAAAATGCATTTTTGAGTTGAGTTCTATTTGGTTTAACCCTCCTCGTTTGCTTTTGCTACGTTCACATCTAAAGCAGCAGAGGCAGCAGAAGCAGCAGGTTTACGTGCAAAGTCAATGGTCGATGCGCATCGAGGCGCAGCAGAAGGTCCTGCAGCGAATTATGAGCAGCACGTCATGAGCTTCTGAGAATCTGACGCGCTGCAAAAGAGGCTGGAGTTGGAAAATTCAAACTCTTGCTGCTCGACGAGCCTAATTAACCAATCAGAGAAGCTGATCTGGGAGCTGGCAGGGAGTCAGACACAGCGCTGCTGATGCAGAGCGCTATGATCACTCCTCTGAAACAGTTTATTAACGCCAAAATTAACTTAAAATGTAGAAACCTGCCGGAACAATATGTTCGATTTTATTATTCTGGTGTCTGCAGTTTGGATTACATATGTAAAAAATGCTTTCCAGCCACCGCAAACGTTAGCGGAAAACCGCGAAAAGGTGACTGGGCCAGAGGCTGCTGTTGAGCGGGATTCCCAGTGACAGCGCACCACCGGTGTACGGGGGTCTTAGCGGCTCTGACAGAGAAATAATATTTGAAGGGAGGATGGTAATCTTGATGAACTGGCTGCACAGACCAAGTTTTCAGGAGGACTTTCTCACTTCAACATAGATTCAAACTACTTTTTACCCGCTGATCACAGCTAATATAGCTGCCATTGTTCCAGGCAAAGAAAGGATAGAGTAGCTCCGCCCAACATGCATCAGGTCCACTTTTCCACCACGCAGCTAGAGCAGCAAAGATGCTAAAGCTGCGCGTCAGAACTAAACTGGTACAAGCATCAAGAATGAAGCAGGACACGCGTTTTTGCTGCTCCTGCTGCTTGTGGTGTGAACGTAGCACTAGGGATTACATCATCATCTGTTCCCTTGGGGTGCTTCAGGGCTCCTTTTTAGGCGGCCTTCTTTTTCCCTTATCAGGCAGCACGGTGTTTGAATTTAATTCAGTCTTCATATACCATCACTTCGGTGTTAGAGTGGATGCAGATCTAAAATGTGACACCCACATCAGATCAGTTGACCTTTAGTCAGTAAGGCAAAAAAAAAAAAAATTCAGACAGCAATCCAAACTTTTATTGTTAGTCAGCTGGAAAACTTTAAGTGGCTCTTATTGCTCCTCTCCAGAGAGTGCAAAATGCTGCAGCAGGTCTTTTATTTGGCATTCACACCATTAAGCACATTATTCCTGTTTCCGCCTCCCTCCATTGGCCTCCTGTACGGTTTATGAGTTATTTCAACGTTATTTGATTTATTATTAAATCTCTTCATCTCTCTGAGTTTCTGCATCTTCATGATCCTCCGGTTTCCTCAGCTGATCAGTTTTTTCATCTTTCTATTACTGTTGCAAGCAAATGACATGTTTTTATATAAAAATATTTAAAAAATGCAATCTAGAAATGAAATTTTATTCAAAAAAAGATTGAGAGTAACTTTGTTGTTTTCACATATTTTGTTTTTTCACATTTTCATAAAACAGTGTTTCATTTTGCACATCTTTGATATTGACATTACTGTAAAAATGTCCATAGCTGATATTGGTTATTTATTCTCCAGGTGCAGTTTTATATAATTAAAACACATTACAGTACAGTATTTTATCTTTTATCTTTTAATTCTTCACTGTTATGTTATTCTTATACATTTTTCTAAGGTCCTTATTTGTGTGACCATTTTTCTATAATTGTTTTGCTGCTGTAAACACCAGAATTTCCCCATTGTGGGACAAAAAAAGGGATTTTCTATTCCATTCTATTTTCTTTTTCCCTGAAATTTTTTTTTTTTTTAATATTTGTTCAGATTTCATATTTTCATTTGTGTTAAAAAATATTTTTTTCAGATTGAGCTTTATGAGTTAAATTTTTTTGAAATTGTGTGGTTTATAAATCACAGAGAGAAGATAAGATCAAATTCGAATTAACGAAATCTCCTAAAACTTTTTTTCATTTGCATGTCTGGTTGGATTATTTTTTCAATAAACAAAACTTGTTTTTTGCTTGCAACAATAATGGAACAAACTTGACTCCATGGTTTCGTGTCTTTTCTGTGACAGTTCCTGAAATGTGGCTCAGTAAAGATGCGACCGCTGTCTGTTGCTTTGGCATTAGACATCCCAAGATATTCTATTCAGTTTATTTCTATAGCACCAATTCAAGACACGTCATCTAAAGACACTTTCCAGTTCACCAGATCATCCAGTCAGATTGATTCCAAGTTTTCTATCTAAGGAAAACCAGCTGATTGCATCGACTCATTGACTCTTCAGCAATCCCTCACACTAAGCATGCTTGCAGCGACAGTGGAGAGGAAAAACTCCCTTTGAACAGGAAGAAACCTCCAGCAGAACCAGGCTCAGTGTGAGCGGCCATCTGCTGAGGCCCACTGGGGTTCAAGGAGACAGAAGCAGACATAGAAAAAGAAGCATAGATACAAAAGGCAACTGTCAACCAGCTCCACAGGCGGCCCCGTCCAGGAAACACACAGCCAGGCAGACGAGCTCCGAGCCAGCTCCCATGTCAGAGGATGAAGAGAGCACATCCAGTTAGTCACAGTCAGAGAAACAGGACTACACTGGAAAACAGGCCAAGCTCCAACATCTAGAAACAAAGGTGTTGATGGCAGCAGCACAGCTGATATTTCTCTCCAGGATGGAGTCACAGCCAAACAGGAACAGACCAGATGAAGCTACTATGAGAAAAAGCAGAGAGAGCAGAACGTTAGAGATTGAACTAACAGATTCTGCAGATTGGGAGAATAGAGATAGAATGAAGCAGAATGGTGAAAAAGGGGTCCCTATGTCCTCCAGCAGTCTAAGCCTATAGCAGCAGAACTATAGAGATAGCTCAGGGTAACCTGAGCCACTCTAACTAGAAGCTTTATCAAAAAGGAAAGTTTTAAGCCTAGCCTTAAAAGTAGACAGGGTGTCTGCCTCACGGACTAATGGTTTGTTGGTTTTAGTGCTTGAGCTTAAATCATTTGTCGTCGTTTTTCTACCCCTTGATTGAATTAATTGGACATCCTGGTAGTTTTCACCTCGGTACATCTGTGTCTCTGCAGGTACGTCTAGTGATCCATGAGAAGGGGCTGGTGTGTGATGAGAGGGATGTGAGTTTGCCGCTGCAGGAGCACAAGGAGCCGTGGTTCATGAGACTGAACCTGGGAGAGGAGGTCCCCGTCTTCCTCCACGGAGACACCATCATCAGTGACTACAACCAGATCATAGACTACATGGAGAAAAACTTTGCAGGCGGTAAGGCTGTCAGTGGCTCCGGTAGATTCAGCTCTGCTTCAGATGTTTCACCTCCCATTAATCACTCAGTGCAGCATGTTTTAAATTCTAAGTGTTGATTACATCTTTTCATTTAATTCAGCAGTAACTAGAAATCACCTGGGCTAAAAACGTCCACTTCTTCTGACGTTTTTTAACACAAGCAAACTCTTCAAAGTTGAAGGGAAATCAAATTTGAATTTCAAATCATTCTGGCTTAAACATGTATATAAATTTACTTTCTATCAGACTATACGGCCCCAAAATTTAGAAAATTTCTATATAAAAAAAAAAGAAATCCTGTCTTAAGTTTTTTTTGTTTTTTGTTTCTTCTGCAGGTCAGTTAGTTCTACGTCAGCCTGAACACCTAAATTCGGCCAATCATATATCAACGGTCATCTGTCAATCAAATGTTTCCGGTCATAGCATCTTGATTCATGTGTCACAGCTAATATACGCAACAGTTGAAATCAGAATCCTTTCCTTTCCCATTGAGTTGCGTCCCAGTGTTCACGGGGATGGACATCTGTGTCTTCGGCAGGCGTAGAGCTAACAGAACTGGCAGCGTTGCGAGGCAAGGGCTCAAACATGTACGGCTGGAAGCCTTCTACACCAAACCAAGCTTCTGCCGCCCTGGCGTCCTCTTCCACAACATCTTCGTCCCCGCTTTCCTCCTCTAAATAAAAAATGGATGACGGAGGAGACTCATCCACGACCTCCGACACTAAACTCTCCTCCTCTTGCATGTTTCCGCTGTCCATAGCGTTCCTTGACAGCGTCGTTTCTAAGTCACCAATTTAGTGCTACTTGGTCCTAATGGAATTTCCCATTGGGAACCTGCTAGCACTAAGTTGCTAACTGGTTAGCAAGATGCTTCCAACAAACCGGCCACAACCAAACTGCTTGCGAACCTTCCGCCACAACAATCCTGCCCCCTTGATAATCAACCTCTCACATTCACTTTATTTACTCGTGTAAAGTCGGGCACCACGATTGGAACAGCCGCTTCCCTACGACTTTAAAGGTTGGAGCTCAAATAAAGAAGCTACTTGGTGTCGCTTATACAGGTGCTGGTCATAAAATTAGAATATCATGAAAAAGTAGATTGATTTCAGTAATTCCATTTAAAAAGTGAAACTTGTATATTATATTCATACATTACATACAAACTCATATATTTCAGATGTTTATTTTGTTTAATTTTGATGATTACAAATGACAACAAATGAAAATCTCAAATTCATCATATCAGAAAATTAGAATATTACTGAAGACCAATAAAAACAAAGGATTTATAGAAATGTTGGCCAACTGAAAAGTATGAACATGAAAAGTATGAGCATGTACAGCACTCAGTATTTAGTTGGGCCTCCTTTGGCCTGTATTACTGCAGCAATGCGGCGTGGCATGGAGTCGATCAGTCTGTGGCACTGCTCAGGTGTTATGATAGCCCAGGTTGCTCTAATAGTGGCTTTTAGCTCTTCTGAATTGTTGGGTCTGGTGTATTGCATCTTCTTCTTCACAATACCCCATAGATTTTCTATGGGGTTAAGGTCAGGAGAGTTTGCTGGCCAATTAAGAACAGGGATACCATGGTCCTTCAACCAGGTACTGGTAGCTTTGGCACTGTGTGCAGGTGCCAAGTCCTGTTGGAAAATGAAATCTGCATCTCCAAAAAGTTGGTCAGCTGCAGGAAGCATGAAGTGCTCTAAAACTTCCTGGTATGTGGCTGCGTTGACCCTGGACCTCAGAAAACACAATGGACCAACACCAGCAGATGACATGGCACCCCAAACCATCACTGACTGTGGAAACTTTACACTGGACTTCAAGCAACGTGGATGAAGTGCCTCTCTTCTTTTCCTCCAGACTCTGGGACCTTGATTTCCAAAGGAAATGCAAAATTTACTTTCATCAGAGAACATGACTTTGGACCACTCACCAGCAGTCCAGTCCTGTTTCTCTTTAGCCCAGGCAAGACGCTTCTGACGCTGTCTGTGGTTCAAGAGTGGCTTGACACAAGGAATGCGACAGCAGAAACCCATGTCTTTCATACGTCTGTGTGTGGTGGTTCTTGAAGCACTCACTCCAGCTGCAGTCCACTCTTTGTGAATCTCCCCCACATTTTTGAAGGGGTTTTGTTTCACAATCCTCTCCAGGGTGCGGTTATCTCTCTTGCTTGTACACTTTTTTCGACCACATCTTTTCCTTCCCTTCGCCTCTCTATTAATGTGCTTGGACACTGAACTCTGTGAACAGCCAGCCTCTTTAGCGATGTCCTTTTGTGTCTTGCCCTCCTTGTGCAAGGTGTCGATGGTCGTCTTTTGGACAACTGTCAAGTCAGCAGTCTTCCCCATGATTGTGTAGCCTATAGAACTAGACTGAAAGACCATTTAAAGGCTTTTGCAGGTGGTTTGAGTTAATTAGCTGATTAGAGTGTGGCACCAGGGGCCATCAATTTTGAACCTTTTCACAATATTCTAATTTTCTGATATGATGAATTTGAGATTTTCATTTGTTGTCATTTGTAATCATCAAAATTAAACAAAATAAACATCTGAAATATATGAGTTTGTATGTAATGTATGAATATAATATACAAGTTTCACTTTTTAAATGGAATTACTGAAATCAATCTACTTTTTCATGATATTCTAATTTTATGACCAGCACCTGTATGCTCACAAGGTACAGGCTCATTGTTTATGGAGCAAATTTTCTTCTGTTATTGTTGTTTTTTTATGGAAATAAAAAAAACAAAACAATCTAGATAGAAACTTTGAAAAATGTTTGAGTCAGAAAAAGGTTTTAAAAACTTTGCTGTATTCTCAGAATTTCATAATAGATTAAGATTAAGATTTTATGGACTGCACAGTGTAGCAGTGGGTAGCCCGGCTACCTTGCAGCAAGAAGGTTCCAGGTTTGATTCCCAGCTCGGGTCTTCCTGGATGGAGTTTGCATGTTCTCCCTGTGCATGCGTGGGTTCTCTCCGGGTACTCCGGCTGTGTGAATGGTTGTTTGTCCTGTTTGTCTCAGTGTTGTCTGTGATGGACTGGCCACCTGTCCAGGGTGGACCCCGCCTCTCTCACGTAGACAGCTGGAGATTGGCACCCCTCATGACCCCGCTTGGTATAAGCATGACGGAAAATGGATGAATGGATGGACGGATATATAATATTTTATTAGATTTATAATTTCAGAATTCATTATTCTCCTTAAAGGTTTCATATTCGATATTTTTTTGTTTTCGAATTTCTCTTTTCCAGATTGAGTTTTACCAACTGCACTTTTTTTTTTCCAAGCTGCATTTTCCAGATCATATCATCTTCCCTTCTGGGGGCGGGACTTTTCCCTGAAGTGAAGAGCAAAGAAGCATTTCTATTGGTCTGCTGGGCGTCAGCAACAACATTCTATTGGTTAAGAGCGAGCGTAAATGTGTGATTCATACTCATAGTTTTACATAGTGGTAACTTTCAAACATGGATGCGTCTCTTCTTAACTTGTATTCTCACATGTCTGAGCGGAAAGTAAGGCAAAAACAATTCAAATCTCTAATCTAGTCATGGTTATTGATCTGCATTTACAAACTCAAACACCTACTTATACATTTTTATTGACGATTCTCTTACCCCATACAAAAGGCCTCCCTGCCATCACCCTAATTTTCAGCTCTGTCCACAGATCTGACAGAGTTGCAACATTAATATTACTTCCTACCAGAGGAGAAATGATGCTAAAGTTAAAGGAACATTTAAATTATTGATCTGTTGGGGAGGAATAATTTTAACTGTATTAAATGTAAACACAACCACTAATTTAGCATCAATAGGAACAAAACTGACTGACCCTACAGACAATGTTGCATTAAAACCTTCCTGCTGATGCGTTTTCTGAGTCCTGCAGCAGAGATGGGATCACATATTCTGACGAGCTGGAGGATAAAGGACGACACTTCAAGGCTACCTGGAGGTCCAGGATGAAGTCACTGCAGCCTCTTTCCTCCAATGTCACCAAAACAATCTGATTATTAGATTTTAAAAAAAACTTGAACGTTTCCCAGACAGAAAAGAAAAAAAACAGGATTATTTCATCATATTGAATCTGGTAATAAATTGAAGACCAACAATAGAAAAACTCCAGAAGGTTAAACTGATGCATGAAGATGAGGATTTTAGCTGTAGGTAAATGAATTTATAGGAAGGAACTTATTTATATTGAACGTTTTGCAGCAGATTGAAGGTTTTCTGTGAAGAATCACAGATTAACCTGATACTTAGAAGGCATTGGATTCGTCTTCCCTGTCCAAATGTCAATCTTTGTCTCTGAGCATAGCTGAAGTCATCCGTTTACTGGTTAGCATGCTGTCCAGCTGAGACATTTTGGGAGTTTTTTCTGAGAAATGTCAGCTGCTCTGAGACGTTCAGAAACTCATCCTGACCTCCAGAGTGCAGCCGTGCTTTTTACTGTCTGTTTTTTTGGATTCATCGTTCCTCTGAAATTTTACCTTCCTGTCCTGTTTGTGTTTCTTTCCTTCAGAGACAGTTGCTCAGCTGATTCCTGATCCAGACTCGCCTCCCTACGAGCGCGTGCAGCAGTACCGCCAGCTCCTTGATGGCCTGCCCATGGATGCCTACACGCATGGCTGCATCCTCCATCCAGAGCTCACCACCGACTCTATGATCCCAAAGTACGCCACCGCAGAAATACGTAGTAAGTGACGCCCTGCACAGCGCATGCACAGACATCTCGAATTCTTCTCACAGTAGAAAAGGAGATGGTCTGGTTTGCAGATTCTTCAGAGCATTGCTGTTAATGTGTTTTCTTGGTGGGGAAGATAAAATGTTCTGATGGGTTCTATAAAAACATCTGGAGATCAAGTGATCAGATGTATTAATATACACAAAAACAAAGAGCCATTAAAAAGCTTAGCTACAGGATCCCTTCTCTAAATATCTGCTAAAAGCTCAAGCAGATTATTAATAGATACCAAAGTTTATGGGGGACAAAAAAACAAGGGGAGATTCAGAGTCTTTTGTCGCTTTAGCAACTTTTTAGACCCCTCTTGCACTTTTATTTCAAAAAAAGCTCCTAGCGCCAAATCTAGAAGCTTTTTTTCTCCTACTGGAGACTTTGGTGACAACATCAGAGGATACTTTCCGTAAAAAATTCAAAAAATATCCACTGGACTTGGTTTTCAAGATTTGAAGACGTTTCTCCACCTCTGCAGGAAGCTTTCTCAATTCAAATGTCTGGATCCGCAGTGAGTTTGAGTCTTATATGGACAAGGCCTTGTATTGCTTGGAAACATGCAATGTTTGCAGCCAGAAGTGACCAAATCCGATTTTTTGGCCCATATGCGACCTGGAACTGATCTTTTTATGGCTGTCTGAACAACACAGATCCGATTTTTTCCAATCCGATCCAGGCCACTTGGCTATGTGGTCCTGAATCAGAGTAGCTTTGCCTCGTCTGTTCCTGTTTGGCTGTGACTCCATCCTGGAAAGAAACATCAGCTGTGCTGCTTCCATCAACACCTTTGTTTCTAGATGTTGGAGCTTGGCCTGTTTTCCAGTGTAGTCCTGTTTCTCTGACCGTGACTGGCTGGATGCGCTCTCTTCGTCCTCTGGCATGGGAGCTGGCTCGGAGCTCATCTGCCTGGCTGTGTGTTTCCTGGATGGGGCCGCCTGTGGAGTTGGTTGACAGTTGCCTCTTGTATCTATGCTTCTTTTTCTATGTCTGCTTCTTTCTCCTTGAACCCCAGTGGGCCTCAGCAGATAGCCGCTCACACTGAGCCTGGTTCTGCTGGAGGTTTCTTCCTGTTCAAAGGGAGTTTTTCCTCTCCACTGTCGCTACAAGCATGCTTAGTGTGAGGGATTGCTGAAGAGTCAATGAGTCGATGCAATCAACTGGTTTTCTTTAGATAGAAAACTTTGTATCAATCTGACTGGATGATCTGGTTGAACTGTAAAGTGCCTTGAGATGACATGTGTTGTGAATTTGGCGCTATGGAAATAAACTGAATTGAATTGAATCCGATACGAATCTGATCTTTTCAAATGAAGCTGTGTCTGAACAGCCAGGTCGCATCCATCCGACCTGAACGTCATTAATACCCGACAAAGATCACTATTCTGCTTCTTGCTACGCAGAAGCGACAAGAATAGCAACAACCATGGCGGACGATGATGCGGAGAGCAGCATTTATGTTTAACCATATTAAAAAGATTCAGTTTTTATGGTTGAAAAAGATCGCTTGATGCCCGCCGCCACTACCATCGACGTTTACTCCCGTAAATTTCGTCATTGCGTCCTCTACTGGGCATGCGAGACACTTGCGTTCTATGACTGCAGTTCACACAGAAGATCACATACAAGTCGCATATATTTTGAAATGTGAACGGCAACGCAAAAAAAATGAATTTCACCAAAAAAAAATCGAAATTGAGCATCAAGGCCTGCAGTGTGAACATAGCCTAAAACACAAGTAGATTGGTAACCCCGCCTCCTGCTCTCCTCTATCTTGTCTGCTGTCATGATTCATGCAGCTATTATTTCATCCAAATGAAAAATGGAGAACAGATAAGCAGATCATGGCTTGTCTACAGTGAAAAGAAGGACTGGGTTATTTACTTTGGCCTTTTTGGAAACACAGGAAGGAGCAATCAGCTAAGTGAGCTTAGTGCTTGGAAAAAATCTTTCATTCCTTTAGAGACAGCATGAAAAGTCAGCTGAGTACAAAACATAGAGAGGAAAACAAGAAGAAAAGGGACAAGAAGAGAGAGACACAACCTAGAACAGATAATGGATGTCTATTCTATTAACATTTCTGTTTTTGTATATCCATCCATCCATTTTCCATCACGCTTATCCCTTCTGGGGTGGCGAGGGGTGCTGGTGCCTATCTCCCGCAGTCTCCGGGTGAGAGGCGGGTCCACCGTGGAGAGGTCGCCAGTCCATTGCAGGGCAACACAGAGACCAACAACCATTCAAACACATCTAAGAATTTAGAGAAGCCAATTAACCTAACACTAATGTTTTTGGACTGTGGGAGGAAGCTAGAGTACCAGGAGAGAACACACACAAGCACAGGGAGGACACGCAAACTCCATGCAGAAAGACCCTAGGCCAGGAATCCTGAACTTTCTTGCTGCAAGGCAGCAAAGATGGCTACTGAGCAGCCCAGGGAGGCTGGATGCTGATGGGGATGTTTTTAATACATCATATTAAATTAATGCTCTACTCAAGCTGGAGGACGGGAGGAACAGCAAAGGCTGTAGGCTCTGCTTTGCACAGGCAGTCTGTAACGGAGTGGGGCGGTGACGGAGGATGTGGGATTTCAGGGTAAGGGTGGAACAGAGCTGCGCCCGGCTAAACTCCTTAAAGGAATAGTACACCCAAAACATGATTAGCCTTCATTTTCTACTCACCCCCATGCTGAGCAACACTCTGGAGTACTTTTTTGATATCTCAAATGCATCTGGAGATCTGGGAGGCTTCTTGCTGTCTGCTGACATTCAAATAATGGAGGTCTATGGTGCCCGAGGCAGAAAGGTCCATAAAAGTCCACAAAAAACGTGTCAATATTCCTCCATACTGCTCGTCCAATGTATTCCAAGTGTCCTGAGTGGGTAGCGTCCAGAATTTACTCGAAACAAAGTCATTTAGAATGTTTTTAGAGCATAAACAGGAAAAACATAAAAAGACAAGAATATAATATTGCACAAAGAAAGCAGAAGATTGTTCCAGAGCGCCGGCGCCACCACCTGAAAGGAGCAATCTCCCCAGATCCTCTAACGAGTTCGAGGGACCATGAGCAGGTTCTGGTCTGAGACCTCAGCCTCCCAGAGGGGGTATAAGGACACAACAATTCCCTAATGTAGGAGGGAGCCTGACTGGGGAAGGCTCTGAAGATCAGCACCAGGATTTTAAACTGGAACCGAAAAACATTAACAACTTTTATTTAGAATATCACAGTATTTTTATTATTAATTAACCAAATATTTCAACAGTTATAAATATAAAAAAAGCTCCACTGATAACTATTAACATGTTGATTTATTTCTCTGTTGTGTTCAGGGATGTAATGCCAAACACATGATGTGTGTGTATGTTTGTAACTTCAGGACACTTGGCTAATGCAGCGACCGAGCTCATGAAGCTGGACCACGAAGAACCTCAGCTGACAGAACCCTACCTGTCCAAGCAGAAAAAGCTAATGGTGAGTTTATGTTCCAACCAGAGGCCTGCTAACCTGACTCCACCAGATGGATTTGCTCCGCATATCCATCTGGAAACCTTCCGTTGAAGTAATTTTGGGAAGGGGCGAAAATACTGGTTAGCTGATTGGCCTATGTTGGTGATAGACGGGCCAAATAAACCAATCAGATCAACGAAGCATATGACGTACTAACAGAGCGACGACGAAGAGGAGCCAATTGATAGATCAAACTCTTGCCGAAACCAGTCGGGAGAAGAGCAAAAACATCTTTTCCTCTGAGAAAAGCCTCCAGAGCAGTGTTTTGCTCTTCTTTCAGTGAAGAAATACTCTGTAATTCCGATAAAACTTGCTCGATAGCCACGCTAAGGCTAGTTTCATCGGCTGAAGCCGCCATGTTCTTTAGACTGAACTGTGGCGCTTCTCGTTGCGTCACACCTCAACCCGCCTCAAAGCCAATGCTGATTGGACGTTCGTTTGGTGAACGGCTCCAAATTTTCTTTAACGGAGAGTCTCCAGACTGATTTGCGAGTGAAACCTTGAAAGCTCGCGAGATCAGGATGGTCTCACGAGGCTAGAGGCCTGCACCACCAAGCAAACTCAACGCAGCTGGGTTACTTCCAGTCTATCCAGTTCAGCTAGTCCACAACAATGGCGGTTAGGATCAGTGGTACCATGAAGCTCATTATCAACTCATTAACCTAATCCAGCTTGAACTGTTCATGAATCTGTGAACGCCAATGTATAATGCTACGTTCAGAACGCACACAGCAGAAGCAGCAAAAACGCTTCAGTTCTGAAGCTAGAGCAGCTGCGCGGTGGAAAAGGGGTGGAGCGAGTAGATTGGTAACCCCGCCTCCTGCTCTCCTCTATCTTGTCTGCTGTCATGATTCATGCAGCTATTATTTCATCCAAATGAAAAATGGAGAACAGATAAGCAGATCATGGCTTGTCTACAGTGAAAAGAACACTGGAAAAACTGAAATCTAGATGAGTATTTTTTTCTCAAAATAAGTGAGTTTGTTCTTATTTAGGTAAGATAGACATTTTGCCAACGGAACAAGACAATTTACACTTAAAATAAGAATTGCATTGGCTTATTTCAAGTGCTTATTATCCAATTTTCTCATTTTAAGAGCAAAAATACTTGTTCCATTGGCAAACTATCTCATTTACGAACTCAAAGTAAGGATAAATACACGTAATTTAAGAAATTTTAACTTATCTCTAGATCGTTTTTGCAGTGAAGGACTGGGTTATTTACTTTGGCCTTTTTGGAAACACAGGAAGGAGCAATCAGCTAAGTGAGCTTAGTGCTTGGAAAAAATCTTTCATTCCTTTAGAGACAGCATGAAAAGTCAGCTGAGTACAAAATAGGGATGAATTTATAATCGTTTTGTATCGATGCATCGAAACGTCCGCAAGAGAATCAATTATTTTTTTTTTTCCTCCGGTATATTTTTATCCATTTGCTCCTGGAGGTAATTCTGACTCCCGTGCTGCGGTGGCGCTAAACTTATTTTTCCCTCCTACCTCGCTTCCTTTAGCCACTACCCTCTTTCCGCTTGCACACACACTCTCACATAAATATTAGCTAAGATAGACATGGTGGAGGAAAAAGAAGATGACCCACACACCCCTTACAGGTTCAAGTCATTTATGTGGAAGTATTTGGGGTTTTATTTTTGTTACTTAGTCTACTAGTGCACTTATGCACTCAATGCACTGATTTTGTGGAGTATTGTTATTCTATAGTGAATGTAGTATAAGCCTATTTTTGTTACTTAATCTGCATTTATGCACTCATTGCAGTATTTTTTGATGCAAGGCCTTTCAGAATCTATAACACACAATCGCATTATTATTTTTTCAGTGAATGAGGTTTTCATAGGCCTAGGTGGAGTACAAGTTTGCTACTTTTGTTATTTGCTGTTTCTCAAATAAAATGCATAACGATATTACAGCTTTCATTGATTTATTTCAAATTTGAAACATTTTCTAGCCTGTAAAAAAGTTAATCGAATCAAATTGTATTATGGTGTTTTCTTAAGTATAGAAAATAATTAGGGATGCAGGATATAATGGGCCCCCTATCGGTATCGGCCTTAAAATTGAATATCGGACATCGGCCACCCCACCGATATTTAACCCGATATTTGATCAGCTTCTGAGTTTCTAAAAGTCTAAACAAAAACAAAAAATACTACTTCTTCTTCTTCCTCAAAAACTTCTTTATTACAGACTTAAAAACTTCTAAAGACGAGGGAAAAAATATTGATACATTAAAATATCCCAATATCTTCATATGCTGATATATTGCCATTTAAAAACACCATATTAATCTCTTTTACTAATGAAATATTGCTATATGTCATCGTTATGCTACGAAATCCCCCGAAAATTCACGAAATGTTGCCATATTTTTATATGTTGATATATTGACGCGGTATCGATCTATTTTACTAACAAAATCTCACAAGAATTTGCAAAATATCACGAGAGTTTGTAACAGAACGATGAAATTTCACGGGATTTTGAAAGTAAAATAGATCAATACCGCGTTTTTAAAAATCTATTTGATATCAGCATATGAAAATATATTTGAGTATATTATTTTTCAAAGTGTCAGAAATGGATAACAAAACTGCTATTTTCAATGACTACTTATTTTTGTCCAGCTTTAACATCGGTATCGATATCGGTTATCGGCTACATGAGTTTTAAAATATCGGCATATCGGATATCGGCCAAAATCCCAATATCATGCATCCCTAAAAATAATCAAATCGTTTGGTCAGGAAATTTATACTGAATCGAATCGCCATGATGGGTGTTATTTACACCCCTACAAAACATAGAGAGGAAAACAGCAACAAGAGATGGACAAAACTTAGAACAAATATTGTATGTCTTTTCTATAAAAAATTCTCTATCTGTATAATGGGTCTGTTTTATGTGTAGTCTTTGCCTGTCTTTGCTTAGGGCCCCAAATTTCCTAAATCTGTGAACAGCTCCCAGATGGGCAATTTCCAAGACTCACAAACAAGCTTCTGTTTTCAGGCAAAAATCTTAGACCATGATAATGTGAACTACTTGAAGAAGATCCTGGGGGAGCTAGCCATGGTTCTGGACCAGGTGGAGGCGGAGCTTGAGAAAAGAAAACTAGAGTATCAAGGTATGTTTTCAAGTTTTATCTAAAAAAAACAAATAGAAACTGTTCTCTTGATGTCATTCTGACTCGTTTTGACTCACAGGTCAAAAGTGCGAGCTGTGGCTTTGTGGACCTGAATTTACACTAGCTGATATCTGCCTTGGAGCCTTGTTGCACAGGCTCAAGTTCTTGGGACTTTCTAGGAAATACTGGGAGGACGGCAGCCGGCCCAACCTGCAGTCCTTCTTCGTGCGCGTGCAAAAACGCTACGCTTTTCGAAAGGTCTTGGGCGACATCCACACGACTCTCCTGTCAGCAGTCCTACCCAACGCCTTCCGAATGGTAAAAAAGAAGCCGCCATCTTTCTTCGGGGCTTCGTTTCTCATGGGCTCATTGGGAGGGATGGGCTACTTTGCCTACTGGTTTTTAAAAAAGAAATATATGTAGTGAATGCCCTGTTGTTGTGTTAAATGTCTGTGTATTTGTGTGATGCTTCAACTTTTCTGTAACGTTTTATGACTGCAGGAAAATATAATGAATCTATATAGAGAACACTATTAAATACCTAGATACACAAAGAAGTATGAAAACATTCCATAGTATGAACTGACTGACAGCACATTATCAAGGCCTTTGTTCCTGTTTTTTTTTTCTGAATCTTGCTGCTTTTTCGCATGCAAGACCTCATGTTTTTATTTATTCTGCTTTATGTGTTGTTTTTTAGATTGATCATTTTCACATTAAAACAGAAACCCAGACCAAACATTGGGCGTAATCAGCCTTCGCATGTCACCATGACATCCGATAAAATCACTCCTCCATCCCACAGAGGCTCTAATGCTACGTTCAGACCGCACGCTGCAGAGGCTGCAGAAGCATCTGGTTTACAGGCAAAATCAATGGCTGACGCACATCAAGGTGCAGGAAAAGGTCATTCAGTACGTTTTGAGCAGCAGCAGCTCATAAGCTTCTGAGCAACTGATGCGCTGCAAAAGCAGCAGCTGCTGGAGTTGGAAAAATTTAGCTTTTGCTGCTCAACACATCAACCAATCAGAGAAGCTGATCTGGGAGCTGGCAGGGAGTCAGACACAGTGCTGCTGATGCAGAGCGCTATGATCACTCCTCTGAAACAGTTTATTACTTCTAAAGCGGAGCTCTTCAACAGCTTCCTCCTGCTGCTTTCTTTGTGGTCTGAAAGTAGCATTACTGATAAAATCACTTCGTATAAATGTGAGGAATATGCTCTGAAAAGAGCCACAAACTGCCATACATTACGTCCAGGAAGGACTTTGTTCTATTAAAGTTGTTTGCAAGAGAGTGATTTTTAAAAACAAGGTACAAAAGGACAAACGTAGGAGTTCAGTAGCTAGCATTAATACCGCTAATAGAGGAAAAGATGACATTTATCTGGCTAATTGTGCTGCATTTGCAGCAATGTTTAAAAAAAAGCATTAAACATCGCTCTGACTCCTTTTAAATGTATCACCAATTAACACGGTTAAGCCGTGTGAGACCAAATGAGCTCAGAGAACGGATCAGATTAGGTGTTTTTATCCTAGCATAGAACGGTTAACGGTCTTAGCGTAGCAGGCTAATTTAACATCCTATCAGTAGTAAAGATGTTCAGCCGTATAAATAACAGAAAATAAGCGGTTCTGTACTGTGAGGACAACAAAAAAGAAACATTACTCCTCTTTAAGGATAAAAAAACAAAACAAAAAACAGTAAAACTTATTTATTTATAACTGTAGTGACTCACACCACAGCGGTTACCGTTAGCTTAGCATGAAGACTGGGGAAAGGACCGAGGCTTAAAAAAAACCTACAGAAATGAATTAAACTCTCAATTAAAACTTTCTAAACTGTCATAAATAAAGTTCTGGTTCAGGCTGTAGTGTGATAATGAGCTATAGAGATGTTACTTTTTGTTTTTCAGTGTTGGTAGTGGTCAAATCAACTGATTTAATTCTGTGTTTTTCGGGCGCTACCAATGCTACAATTTGGAGCCAATCTTAAAAAAAAAAAACAGACAAATCTTCTAGAAGCGACAGTTTAAAAAAAACCAAAATATTCACATATATTATGTATTCTATAAATAGTTCGTATTGGGCTTGAGTGAAGAAAATGGGATTTTTAAAACCGAATTTGAAAAGATTGCAATTCAAAAACTCAATTTAGGAACAATAAAAAATAAATAAATGAACGAACAAAATTTGAGAAAATTTAACTAAAATAAAAAAAAAAACACTCAATCCAGGAATTTTAAAAACTGATTACCAAACCAGGACTTCATAGTAACTTTGCTGTTTTCTTATAATTTTTTTCTAATTAAAACTATTTTTATTACTTTATTTTTTCAATTTCTCTGATTGAGTTTTACAAATATCGTTCTTATCGTTCAGACTAATAGAAATGCTTCCTCGCTCGTCGCCCCAGAGGAAAGCAAAGACTTTGATCTGTAAAACGCAATAAAAGAAAAGAAAGCGATCCGAAAATGGAAATTTGAAACATGGGATTAGAAGATATAAAATCTGTAAAGAAATTTTTTTAATTGAAGTTTTAAAAATGAAAGAAAAAAAAGATCTGCAAAAACAGCAAAGTTGTTCTTAAAACCGTTGTTTTGACAAAGACGTTTTTTTTATTTTTTAAAACCATTTTTTCTTGTTTCTATTTGCAATTATTTTTCTGTTTGCAACAATAATGTACACTGGAAAAACAATCTAGAAATAAGTAAAATTTCCTTAAAATAAGTGCATTTACCCTTATTTTGAGTAGGTAAATTAGATATTTTGCCAATGGAATGATTATTTTTACTCTAAAAATAAGATAATTAGATAACATGCACTTGAAATAAGACAATGCAATTGTCTTTTCTTATTTTAAGTGTAGATTGTCTTGTTCCATTGGCAAAATGTCTCTTTTACCTCCTTAATCCAAGAACAATTGCACTTATTTTAAGAAAAAAATGACTTGTCTAGATTTTGATTTTTTTTCCAGTGTAAAAAAAAATCTCTCCATTAAAAAGACCAAAGGTCAAGCAGATTAAAAGCTTTATCTAAATGATTTGCTGTTAACGGAGTCACGATTACGAAGTCGAATAAAGATTATAGCCTCGTATAAAGATAAACCAGGATGGGCATGGTTGACATTTCCTCCCAATTAAACGATTTATTAGTTACCTATGAAATCAAAAGCAGCTCTAAAGATGTTTCTTTGTCGGCTATCGACAGAGAAAATTAGCTGTTTATGCTGAAGCGCAAACAGAATATCTGCTATTGATATAAAATAAAATATTAAAAAGATAAAAAACTGTTAAAAATGAATATTTTATACGGTTGTATAAAATAGGCGTGTTAAATCCCTGGGTGGATGTTGGGGGAAGTGAATGTTCTCCTGTTTTTTTGGTTTTTTTTCCAGCTGAGTCATGTTTTCTGCTATTTATAAGTGCAACCACTGTGTGAAAACTGCAAACTGTTAAACTTCATCTCCTCATTAATCAAACTTGTTTAATCAGCTCACATTATTTCCTGCAGTCAAACACTTTCTCTGGTTTCTAAGCCTGTTTTCAGGCTTTATCCCACATCTTTCTACTGAGAACAGCTTTACTCTCCTCTAACCCACAGAAATGTGATTTTCTGCTAAAATGTGATGATTTTGTTCTAATGTTAAATCACTTAAGACCACTAAGACGTCGTTCAGTTGGTTTAAGGTGCACCAACACACAAACTTTGGGTGTTTTAAACGTTACACTTAGCTGAGCTTATTTAAACGATACGTTCTGCATCTGTGGCACAAAGTGTTGAATTAGGATTAGTTTGTTTTATTGCATGGGGTCTGTTTGCTGTGTGAGCGTTATGGGATTGGCTCGGTTAGGAGGACGGAGGTAGAACTAGCTAACTGTAACATTTGAAGCGCCTGCAGTGATCAGTGTGCAGCTGCTGTTTGGCACCAACTCCTTCAGCCTCTGTCAGACCAGCATACCATTAGTCAATACCCGGTTATCCCTTTAGTTTTGTACGAAAAAACAGTTTAATTACTTACTTTTTGGTGTTTTTTTGAGGCGATTCGTACGGAAGAGGATTAGGGCCACTGAAAAAAAAAAAAAAAAGTAAAGTGATTTTTAAATGTTATTTCAGTTTAACATGGGAAAAAAGTCAGAATTCTGACTTTTTTCTCAGAATTCTGACTTTTTTCTCAGAATTCTGACTTTAATCTCAGAATTCTGACTTTAATCTCAGAATTCTGACTTTTTTCTCAGAATTCTGACTGAATTCTGACAATAAAAAAAGTCAGAATTCTGAGAAAAAAAGTCAGAATTGTGAGATCAAAGTCAGAATTGTGAGATCAAAGTCAGAATTCTGAGATCAAAGTCAGAATTCTGAGATTAAAGTCAGAATTCTGAGAAAAAAGTCCGAATTGAGAAAAAAGTCAGAATTCTGAGAAAAAAGTCGGATTTCTGACATTAAAGTCAGAATTCTGACTTTTTTCCCATACTATACTGAAATAAAATAAAAAAAATCAGTTAACTTTTTTTTTTTTCCAGTGGCCCTAATCCTCTTCCGTAGATTCGCGATCTGTCCTTAAATTGTTATTATTTATTTATTTTTTCTAGGTAGTTTAAATTCTATCTTTAGTACAAAACTAAATGAATAAACACAAATCTAAAATCTTGCGCTTGCGTATTTACTTTACACTGGAAAAAAAATCTAGATAAGTAAATTTTTCTTTAAATAAGTGCATTTGTTCTTGAATTTAGGAGGTAAGTGAGACACTTTGCCAATTAAACAAGACAGTTTACATTTAAAATAAGAAAAAAACAATTGCATTGTCTTATTTCAAGTGCATGTTATCTAATTATCTTATTTAAGAGTAAAAATACTAATTCCATTGGCAGATCATCTTATTTACCTACTCAAATTAAGGGTAAATACACCAATTTCTACTTATTTCTAGATTGTTTTTGCAGTGTATGTATGCTGGTCTGACAGAACAGCGGGTTTAGTTTCATGGTTCCTTCTTTGGAGTTTGGCTTTAAAACGAAATGAGAAAAAGGAATAAACTGCTGCTTATTTTGTTTTTTGTTTGATTTTTGTTTTAAAATCGATTTCTGTGTGAAATTAAATTTAAATTTTTGGTTATTTAATCAGAGAACAGAAATTCAGAAAATAAAAAAGGCTGCCTTTTTCTTACTTTAATGGTAAAATTAAAGATGAGCTTAATTTTAATACTGAAAACATCTGCGCACCAACTACAGATTGCTGGTTGTGCTAAATAATTTCTAGAACTATAAATCGCTATAAATTACAAGGACAACTGAATGTTTTGTTCCTTATTTGGATTCTTTAATGAAAATGTGTCAAATATAAAATAATTTCAGTATTTAATTCTTGCGTTTAGGTTTTAGAAACAGAAATAAAAGCTGGTTATTTTATTTTTGAAATTTTTAAAACAGAAAAACTACAAGTAGAACCAGACACTGTTTTGTTTTTCACATGGTCTGGATTAGTCTTTCTATGGCAATACCCTGATGTATGGAGAGACATTTGTACCATTATTGTTGTAAAGAACTAGTTTTGTTAAAGAAAATGTGGGGGGAAAAAATAGAATCCAAAAAGTACATTTAAAAAAAATTCTTCATCATACAGAAAGGTTTTCAGAATCTTTTTTTTTTTTTTTTTGGAATAAATTATGTTTACAATTTTTTAGATGTAGTTGCATTTTACAGATATGTGATCTGTAAAACGCAGTTTGTAAAAATAATGCAATTTGTAAAGCTCAATCTGAAAAAATTAGAAAACAAATGTAATACAAAATCTTTAAAAACAATTACCAAAATAAAATTTTATATATATATATATATATATATATATATATATATATATATATATATATATATATATATATATATATATATATAATCTGAGAAAACAGTTGTTACTCTCAAAAACTT